AAACTCATACTTGCCAATGGACAAAGAGGGGAGCCACTCTAGTGCATACCACTTAAGAGGCCATCTGTGCAGAGAGGCAGGACCTATGCTCCTGGGGCCTCTACATACTCATCTGTAGAATGGGAATGTTGTGCTCACTCAAACACCTGGCTTGGGCTCCATACCCACAGAGGTTTATGATGGGAGTAGCTTTTCATTGGGCTTATCCAGGTCTTATTATTAGGACTAAGACAAACTAAGACAGGTGGGCCATGGCAGCTAATGACATTAATACTTGGACCGAGAGTGACATGCCACTTCTCTATACCCTCAGCAAGTTATAGTCTGTTGTCATAAAAAGTTAATGAGGGACGCAAGGCAGGAGGGTTCTGAGTTTGAGGACAGTGTGGGCTACACTGGATTTTAAGCAAGCCTGGGCAGTATAGTGAGTTGAATGCCACCTGAATTACACAGTGATTTGAAAGCCGGCTTGGGCTATGCAATGAGTTCAAGGCCAGCCTGAATTACACTGGGAAATCTTGTCTCAAAAACCAAAACAAAAAGTCACCTACAAAATAAAACAGGAAAGGTTAATGAAGAAAGCTGGCTGAGAAAGACTTTTCCATCAATTACTAAGAGAGAAGTCACAAAGGAAAAAAAATCTGTTGTACAATGACAGGGTGGGGCAGCTGAGTGCCTTGGTGGTGGCAGCAGTGAGCTCACATACAAAGAAGTTAGAATAGAACGGCAGTTTATCTGCCCAGGGTGTGGTTGGTAGCCAACTGCCCTGTTTCTTGGGAGAACTTGGAGAATGTTTTTGAATCTGCCACATGTATCCCCAAGTGTTTCTCGACACATCTCTGCTCCAGACAGAATGGAGAACCAACAGGAATCTAGAGCCAAAGGGACTGTAGGACCAACTGTCAGGCACAGTTCTTAGTACTGTGACAGGGATGAAGAGAATTGCCTGCGGCATGCTAATCATCCAATGAGTCCTCGTCCCAGCCCCTCACTGGGGGATTCTAGGCAGGTGCTCTGCCAAGGAGACCCATCCTGCCTCTTCACTCAAGAACTCTAGGCAAGATCTCTACTGCTGAGCCACACCCCCAGCTTCTCACTGAGGAATTCTAGGGAGGCTCTCTATCACTGACACAAATCCCTTGCTTTCTTCTTACTTTTTATTTTGAGATGAATTCTTACAAGCTAATTTGCCTAGTCTGGTCTTAAACTTGCGGCCCTTCTACTTTAGCCTTATAAGAAGTTGGAAAAACAGCTGTTTTCCCCAGTTTCTCTAGCAGTCAAGACACAGAGCTGAAAAGCACATCCCTCCATAATTAGTGAGGGAAAATGATGGGGAATGTCCTTCTGTGTATGTTGATCTTATTGGTTGTTGAATAAAGTACTGTTGGCCAATGAAGAAGCAAGTTAGGCAAGATAGGTGGGACTAGGAGTCGAGGAGGATTCTGGGAAATGTAGTAAAGATAAGTCTTATGATCCAGGCAGGAGGTGACATAGCAGGTAGACTCAAAATATAAGCAGGAAATTGCTCTCTTGCTCTTCCTCGTCCTCCTACTCTCTTCTATACAGCGCTGCCATGTGATCCCAGGAAGAGGACCCCAGCAGAAAGTGTCCTTGATAAGTCTTATAAAATATATAGATTTATGATAATTAAGACTGAGCTAGCATATAAGAAATCCTAGTCAATTGACCAGCAGCATTGTAAACTAATATAAGACTCTGTGTTATTCTGGGCGCCCATGTGGCGGCGGGGCTTGGGCGGATGGAGTAAAGACTTACTGTTACAGAAAACCTTCAAGTACCCAATTCCCACAGCTCTTCCAGGAATGAAATGTATTTTGACAAATTTCCTAGTCTCTTTGATGAGGAAAAATATTTCTTCATCTATTAGGGAAGAAGTTCTGATAGTTGGTGAACAGATAGCATTACCGCAGTGCATGTTACACTGGCCCTGTCTCCTGGAACAATTGGACTGGGGATGGCCCAGGTGCTGAGTACATCATTAGTCCTAAAACCCTGTGAAGATGCCAGGTGGTGGAGTACCACTCATTATAGACTGAGGCATCAACTAGCCACCTGCAGTTTTCCTAGGGCTGGTTGGTACTTGTAATAAGTCCCCAAGGTCATGGCGGTGTAAGGTATGGAGGGTAACACATAACTTCAACACTGGGGAGGCTGATTCAAGAGGACAGTGAGATTGAGACTAGCCTGGGTCACACACAGAGAGTCATTCTCAAAAAAGCAAAGTAGAAACAGGTTGGGCATGGTGGTGCATGTCTTTAATACCAGTTTGAAGCTAGCCTGATCTACATAGTAAAACCCTGTCTCAAACAAACAACAAAATCAAAACAAAGGTCTGGAGTGGCTGCTTAGCCAGTTATACTTACTACCTTAAAAAAAAAGTCTAGGGGTGTGGCTAAGTTGGTAGAGTGCTTGTATGCATGCATGAACCCTGGGTTCTATCCCATCACTGAGTAAAATGGGCATGATGGCAGAAGTCTGTAATCCCAGCATTTGGGATGTAGAGGCAGGAGGATCAAGAGTTTAAGATCATCCTTAAACTACAGCTATAGTTAGAATTAGTCTGGGACTATGAGACTCTGTCTCAAAACCCAAACAAATAAATAGAAAACAACAACAAACCAAACACAAATCAACGGAGCTGCTATGTTTGAAGTCACTGTTCCAAGGTGGACAAACTTGGTTACTTTAGTGCAAATTCTTGGTTTCATATTTACTTAGGATTTCTATTGCAAAATGCACCCACCCTCAGCACTATCAGCAACAACCACCTGCCACCAACAGTTAAAAGCTATAGGCCAGAAGAATTAAAAATCAGAGCAGTTCAGGGAAGGAGTAAGGGATAGGGTGACAGACACTAGTTGGGAGCTGGGGTGAATCTGTTTCCAGGTTGATAGCCACCCCCCCCAAAGGCAGACAGTGAGGGGTCAGTGCTCCCTGTCTGGAGACTCACACACTTGACAAAACCATAAGCAGCTGAGGCAGACAGTGAGGGGTTGATTGAGGCAGACAGTGAGGGGTCAGTGCTCCCTGTTTGGGGTGAGACTCACACACTTGACAAAACCACTGTGTTTGGGACACAGAGCTGACCCCGTCATGGGCGAATGAGACACTGTATGTTCTGAGTGCCCTGCTTCTGTATGCTTTTGCAGGCCCATCCCTGCAGAGGCAGAGCTAGCGGAACACAGAACAGGCTCTTAAACAGCAGGCAGGGACAGCACTTGCCACCTTCTGTGGCTGCTCTTATGCTTTTTCTTGAGAAGCAACAATTTCTGAAGTAGAGGGAGAAGTAGAGGAGGGAATGGTGTAGACCTAGAGCAGTGCTGACCTTTGGTCGCCACCATCATGGAGAACAGCGACTCTCTGCAAATCAGCTGGGGACAGCGAGGTTGTACAAGTCAATGGTGACTGTGCATACCAGTGACAGTGTCAAATTATTATAAAATAAGAGTCCTAACCATGTGGATCTCAGTGGGGAGACTGGGCAGGTGAGGTGATAGGATCCTAGCAACGTGCTTAGATAGACTGCATATAGAACATTCCAGAATGGACAACCATTCTGACTAGTACTAGGACGGGCTAAGACTACCCAGGAGACCTCAGGTGACCAGTGGCACATTCTCCACAAAAAGCCAGACCCAGAACCTGGAGTGAGGCCAAAGCACCAGCTATTGCCACCATCCAGTTCTCCTAATGGAGTAACAGAGCCACACATTGCATCCTTCCCTCCTATACAGGTTTTCCTGGTTAATTTTATCAGGGAAGAAATGGACAGTGCTTTTCTCTGAAATGCTGGTAAAATCTGAGTGACCAGTGCCTGTGAAAAACAGGTGCCTGATGAGCTCCTGGGGGGCAAGCAGGGGCTCCAGGGACTCTGGGAGGCTTTTCATCTCACAGAGAGGCTTTAACTCACTGGGGGAGGGAACCCAGTGCAAGATTCAAAACTTTCCAGTGCCTGTGGCTACCCAGCTATAAAATTGAGTGCGCAGGCCACAGGCCATGTTCTTCTGGCCTAAGAAACTTAATTTCTGCTTTAACTGTTTCTTTCCCCAGTGAAGAATCCATGGTGACCGGCCTGGAGTACAGTTAGTTAGTTGGCAGAGTGCTTGCTTAGTATTTGAGACACTGGGCTTGATCTCTAGCAGTGGTGGTGCACACTTGCCACTCTAGCATGGGGACGTAGAAACATGAGAATCAGAGGTTCAATGTCTTTCTCACTTCTATAGCTAGTTTGAGGCCAGCAGCACCAGTTGTAAAGGCAAAGTGTTTTACTCCCCTGTAGGCCTTGTGGGGAAAAAAAAAAAAAAAAAAAGGCTATGGACAGCTGAGTGCTAGCTTGGAACCATCTGATACTATGTGGCTGTTCTGTGTGTGATATTGTGCTGTGTATTTCCTGAAAAGTATGTTTGATAACTGGGTATCAGCAGAGAGAAGTTGTCCACTAGGAGCTCCACTAGAGCAAGTAGTTAGAACCAACTAGGAGATGATAGTTAATTCTATGGTGTAATGGATTCCTGAGGACAAGGCACCAGACATGCTCAACCTTCTGGGATGACAGTGGGATCACATTTTCACCTTCAATGCGAATTCACACTTGAGAACTGCACAGTTGCAAACCAATCAATTATTCAATCTTATAATGTTTTTAATAAGCTTACAAGTTTGTGTTGGACCTCATTCATGGCTATTCTGGGATTCATGTGGCCTGTGGGCCATGGGTTGGACACTCCTGGAATTTATGCACCGGAGACAGGGGACCAGAAAAAGAACAAGTATTCTTATGCATCTGTGTCTCAGACACTGGGGCTGAACCTGAGATTCTGCCAAGGAACATTGCTGTGGATGTATTTCTAACTTCCCATGACACTATGAAAATGGATCCACAATGATCACCGCCCCCCCCCATCTTGGAGTGATACCTCTCCCAAGATAACAGAATGGGAGAGCTACGGTGTTTTACACTGAAGGTCTGAACAGCTTACCTGGTTGGCTCGTTCAAGATCAGTCATGATCATCTCGATCTCATCAGCCCTGGGAAGGTAAAAGGGAGAGAGGTTAGTCACCACTGAGGCAGGTGCAGTGAAGTGACCAAGGGATAGGCTCTCTGGCTCAAACTGAAGCAGAATGGCATATCCACACAAGGTAAGGCAGAGGCTCTGGCATTAGGGAGGGGAAGACCAGACCAGCTTGTAAAGGGTCACAGTGGCCAATGGGACAAGGTAGACTTATGTCATAGGCAGCATGCCTGATAGTTTTATTCACTATTTACTTATTATTATTATTGTGTGTATCCCCCTGCCATAGTGTCAAGGACAACTTTCAGGAGTTGGTTTTCCTCTTCTACTGAGGGCTCCAAGGATCAGACTGAGGCCTTAAGGCATAAACAATAAGCAATTTTACCCATTGGGCAGACCTTAGTTAATTAGCTAGCTTACCCTAAGATTGGGTCTCCAGTAGGCAAAGTTGATATTAAAATACCTGTATAGTCAAGGATGGCTATGAGCTACTGCTCCTCCCTCTCAAGTGCTAGGATTAAAGGTATTTGCCTGCCACATTATTTTTTGAGTCAGGTTCTCTTACTGTCCCAGAGCTGGCTATATAGACCAGACTGGCCAGCCAGAGAACTGCATAATAGTTTCTGCCTCCTCAATCCTGGGATTCTCAGTGCATCCCACCATTCCCGGTGTTTTAAGTAGGCTCTAGGGATTGAACTCAGGTCCTCATGCTTGCACATCAAGTACTTTAAGACTGTGCTATCTCCTCAGTCCTTCATCGTCCTCTAATTCTGCTGAACTTTCTTCACTCCAACATTCTTCCACTCTGACTGGCAATGGGTCGGCCACTTCTGTCCTCCACATCATTCAACTGAGCCTTTGTATTTTGCTCTATTCACTACTTTTAAATTAGAGTTTTTATTTTATATTTATCTATTTTGTATGTGTTGGGTGGGAGCATGTCCCATGGTGGCATGTGTGGAGGTCAGAGAACAATTTTAAAGAGTCAACACTTTCAGCATGTGGGTCCTAGGGATTGAACTCTGGCAAGCACCTTTATCTAAACATCTTGCTTGCCTGCCCCTTATTCTTTAAACACACACACACACATACACACACACACACACTGTATGTGTGCATACCTGTGCATGAATGCATGCCATATCATGCAGGTGGAAGTTCTGTCTTTCACCTTTATGTGGGTTTTGGCAACTGGACTTAGGTCAGCAGGCTTGTGCAGCAAGTGTCTTTATCTGCTGAGCCATCTTGCTAGACTTTCCTTTATGCTTTCCTGCCGTCTGTGGAAAGTTATTCAACTTGTTGTAACTGGTCTTTGGCTGTGCCCCGCTGCAAGTTAGCTGTTTTCTGTTTTTGTTCCCTAGAAACTCTCCACACCTGTTATTTTCTTAGTCCCTTTGCTTCCCTTGCTATAGAGATCCATCTTTTGTGTTTGCTTTCCCTTCACTGTCCCCTCCCTAAGGGTCACCTTGGATTCTCAGAGAGAAGTAGCAGTGGGAGAAGGTTGCCCCCTCTGGGTGTAGCTACCTAATCCTGGAAAGCCACCCAGGTAGCCTGCACATACACTTCGATACAGAAAGCTGGTGGGGCTGCCAGAGACTCAGGCCACCTCAAGGATTCCTAATATCTAAGAAATGCAACAAAAGATTTCAAATTCTTTGTGGAAACCTAGTCTTTAGTCTTGAGCTGGGACTAGAGATGGTTCAGTGGTTTGACTCCTCAGAAAACCGCATAGTAGAAGAAATAAGACTTATGCAAATTGTCCTCTGACCTCCACACAGGCCCATGTGCGCGCGCGCGCACACACACACACACACACACACACACACACACACACACACACACACACACGTAAATAAATAAATGTGAAGCAATTTTGAAAAAACAAAAATAAAATGCCACCTAGACCCATTTAAACAGGAAGGTGCTTTTTCTGCTGTTTGAAGTAATCCATGGAAGTGAATTTCAAGTTTTCCATTGGTGGGTCACTTTAACTTAGGTTGCTAAGCAACCACAGAACTGAGCAAACTAATGAATGTGATAATGGTAGCTGTGCATTTCACTGTGAGAACACTCATGGCTTTCCTGGACTCTCAGAGGAGATTGACAGCACTGTTCTGCTGTGGTAGGGCAGACACCCAGACCCAGAGAGGTTACCACTCCCAGAAATTTACCACTCCCAGAAACAACAGGAGACAGTGAGGGAACTGTGTGAGGGTCAGGTCTCCTGGAACTGGAGTTACAGACAGTTGTGAGCTACCATGTGGATGCTGGGAATTGAACCCAGGTCCTCTGGAAGAACAGCCACTGCTCTTAACCTCTGAGCCATCTCTCCAGCCTATTATTATTAATAATATTACATTTCTGTTACAGGATCTAATATATCCCAGTTTGGCCTCAAACTTACTACGTAGCTGAACATAACCTTGAACTTCTAATCCTCCTGCCTCCACTTCCTGTGTGCTGAAATCATAAGAACGTGCCATAATATTCAGTTTACCAAGTGCTGGGGATAGATGCCAGTGTTTGGTGTTATGTTGGACAAGAGCACAAATGACCTACAACCTCTAACCCCAGAAGCCCCTCCCCAGAGATGATTATTTTCTCTCAGCTTTTTAGGAGAAAGACTCCCACAGGCTTCTCTAGGTCAAAGAGAATACAACTAGTTACAATTATTTAGGCAGGGTCCCCCACTTGGATGGCAGGTATGCTGCACCATGCTGTGTATCACTAGCTGGTGACTTCAATGCACTCTTGAGTTCTGGAAGATGTGAAGCACAGCCTGGACCAACAAGGTGGGGGTTGATCCCCTAGGTTTTGATGACCCATGCTGTGCTGGTTAGTTCTTGTCAACTAGACACAAACTAGTCATCTGGGAAAAAGGAACCTCAGTTGAGGAATTGCCTCCATCTGAATGGCCTATGGGCAAGCTTGTAGGGCTTGATTAATAATTAATAGCTTTAATTATTTTAATAATAATGAAATTAATATTTTCCTTGCTTAATAATTGATGTGGGAGGATCTAGCCCATTGTGAGTGGTGTTCCCCCCAGGTGATCCTGGGTTGTATAAGGAAGCTGACTGAGTTCCTTTCATGTTCTCTTTTTCAGTTTTTGCCTTGATGTCCCTCAATAATGGATTGTGATATAGAAATGAAATTAACTCCTTCCTCCCCGGTTTGCTTTTGGGTAGTGAGTGTTTCACTATAGCACTAGAGAAGCAAACTAAGACACACCCTCTCAAGTGTACTGCTGCACCTCAATTGCCAACAAAATTAAACCCAACAGATCACCTGTCCTTAGTAAGTACAATGGAAATTTCCAGGAGCCAGGAGTCACACCTACTACTTTACCAGGGCAGGGATGAACTGCATGAGTTTTGTAGCATGACAGTTAATTTTCGAGAGGGTTTGTTTTCCTTCTTTCTCTCCCACCCCTTTAAAAAAGATGAGTAATGCAATATAACCCTTCTTGGCCTAGTATCAGTATGTAGTCCCAGGTTTGCAGAATTCCTTCTGCCTCAGCCTCTGGGATTACAAGTGTTCATCACTGTATCTGGCTGTAAAGGATACCCATTTTTTCATTTGTTTTGAGAAAGGGTCTCGTGGCCCAAGAGACTGTAATCCCCCTGACTCTGCCTCCTGAGTGCTGGGAGTACATGTGTGTGCCACCATGCCTGGCCATTCTTTCCATTTCAAAGTTCCTGAAGATCATGAGATTGACATTTGTCTAAAATCTTTTATATTCCAAAGTTTGTAATGCTGTAGACTGTTTGCTCAGCACTATTTATTATAAACCCCTCATCCTTTCACCTCTTCGTGAACTGACAGCACAACACGCACTGTCTATTAACCAGCACTGTTCTATGCTCTTCCCTGACTGCAAGCACGGGGTCATTTCATCAGGGCCTAGAATATATATATAGTTCATTCAGTTGTTTCCCTGCACATCATTTCAGGGTATTCTCTGGGCTAACATACCATTTTTATGACAAACTTCAAAGGACACAGCCAAGGTTGATGGAAAGGAAATTATACCCATGCTTAGACACCATGTATTTCCTTTCGCACAAACCTCCTGAGTGCTAGCAGCATCCGGGCCAGCGCCAGGCTGCTGCATATTTCATCGTCTTAGCCATCAGTGACGCCAGGAAAACAGTGCTCAGTCCTCCATGTCCTCAGGTTCCACTTTTGCAGATTTGGCAAACTGCTGCTCAGATGTTCCATGTCTTTATCAACCTCAAGGGGATCTCAGGTTTGGTCCTCATTTGATAAGCAATATAGTATAAAAACTATTTACAGAGCATACATCATATTATCTATTAAGTCATGTATGGTGGCTTGGAGAACGTTCTATACAAATACCACAGAATTTTACTTTAATTATTATTTATATGTTTATTTTTGTATGTATGTATGTATGTATGTATGTATGTATGTATGTATGTATGTATGTGCATGGGTATGCATGTCAAAGTCAGATGACAAATTACAGGGGTCTGTTCTCTCACTGTGTAGGTGCCAGGGATCAAACTCAGACCACCAGACTTGGCAACAAGCACCTTTTCTTGCTGAGCTATCTCACCAGTCCCTAATTATTGTTACTATCATTCTGTCATTATTTTATTTATTTATTTTTTTTGAGACACACAAGATAGGCAGGCCAGGGCTTGAGACCAAGTTCAGAAAGAACAGGTTGGGAAGGGGTGGATAGAGTCTGGCTCTGAGGAAAGGTAAGGTGTTCTGTGACAGGCTTGAAAAGCCCACACTAAGACCAGTCTCCTCCTTTCTTTCCCACACATACACACACACACACACACACACACACACACACACACACAAGGGGAGAACCCTAACATTCCATACAGGGTGCTGGCTAATTTTATTTTAGCTTAAAGTATAGTCATCTGAGGGGAGGGAGCCTCAACTGAAATATTTCCTCTGTGAGATCGGCTATAAACAAGACCGAATGGCATTTTCTTTGTTAATGACGTGTGTATGTGTGTGTGTGTGGGGGCCTGT